CGGGGCGATGGGCGAAAGGTGGGTGGGAGGCGGCGTCAGATAACTGGACCTGCGGAAGAACGTCATCGTCGCGCGTGTTCCGTCCACGAGGCGCTGCGTGGCAACTTATTGGGCGGGGTGGGGCGGAGAGCGGCTGAAGTAAAGGGGGACGCAGACGCAGCCTGGGCGTGGGGCGTCGGCCGAGCTTGCCTGTCGCCGGCCGGTTTCGTGATCTTGACCTTGCCGTGTGCGGAAGAGCCCCCCTCCTGGCCTGCCGCAGTCTCAACAGCAGCGCGCCTGCCTTCCTCTACTTCCTACGCCACTGGTGTGTGTGTGCGTGTGCGTTGCCTCTTTTTGTTTTCATAAAATAATTTAGAAAATGCTCGGCGCTCGTCTGATTGTGGCTTTAAGTTCGCAGGCCGTGCGGTTGTATCGTATCGCTTCCTTATTTAGCGTACATTGTTCGTGCTCGAGGCACCCCCTCCCCCCCTTACCGAATGCTCAGTGACACCTGCTGGGCGACACTTGCGGCCCCGTTATGCAAAGGCCGCCAGCCCCGCCTCGCACGGCACAGTGTCACGCGGCCCACAGAGCGCGGGTGCCGAGCAGACAGACTGACGCCCACGAGGACGAGGACCACCGCGACATCCCCCAACACGACACTCGGGCCAGTCACTCGCGGCCCGGACTGTTCCCTCACGCGAGATACTAGAAGGGGGCGAAATAAACAGAGGTAGTTGGATCTGCGTGAGCGAGCAAAGCCAGTGTCTCTGCTCTTTCGTTTTGGCCGTATGTGTGCGTCGTTGCGACGGGCGCGGGCCGCGCGCTGTGCGCATGGGCATGGCATGGCTGGGTCTGACGGGGTCTCTGAGGCAACTCGACCCAAGCAACCCTTCGTCTTCGCCGTCGGCGGCGGCGGCGTCGACTCGTCTCCCCCGTAAAAGGGTCACCCAGGAAGAGGAGTCTGGCTGCCCGGTACGTTTTCTCTCTGTACTGGGCGTGCATCATAGGGCACCGCCGTGTCGGCCCGAAAATAAAGCAGGCAGGCGAGGTGCTGTGCAACTCGTCCCGGCTCCGGCTGGCTCTGCCGCGAGGCTCTGCAGTGAGGCTGCGCGATGTGCTCATAGCACGTGGCAGGGCCGGCGGTGGCCGGGACATGCGCTATGCAGACAGCAGACCAGCGGCCGCCGCCGCCCCACCCGCGTACTCCACCGCTCCGCCCCCGCAGAGACCTCAACGCGCTAGTCCCCACGTAATAAACCCCATGACGGCCAACCTACACCATTAGAGAGAAAATTGCTACCGATACTCAGTCTCTGAGGTGTTCCCACATCTCCGGATTCGTGGGGGGCCGATTTGCCCTGCCCCTAAAAACAGCGCTCTCCGCAGTTAGACTGAGCGAGCCGTCAAACAGGCGTGCGTGCTGGTTGTCTACCTACCTGGCTCGGGCCGTTAGGCAACAAGCGGTAGGCGAGCCCACCCCCGCTCGCGGCGAGTCTAACCACGGATGTCATTCACCCGTCACTTAGGGGATCGTAGGCAGTATGTCCGTTTTTTCTTGGAGATTCATTCATTACGTTACGGGATCTCAGCGCCTGCGAGGCTTGGGGTAGGCCGCCCCGCAGTACATGCATGCACTGAATGCAAGAAGTTGCCTACCCACCAGGCGCTATGAAAGCTTCCATTGGCTGGACTGGGCGGTTTCGTACCGGGAAATGAAAGACGTACTTTCTGTGAGATACCTAGTGCCAAACAACAGCCATGGTGTCCGTAATTCCGTCCGAGGATCGCCAGGGATTTTCCATATGAGCTCCATGACTTTGTAGGACTCCGTCGTGATGCGGGAGGCTTCTGGCTTCATGCTCACCCTCCTCCTCCCCCGCATGGGCACGGCCGTTATCCAGAACCTTTATTGGCGCTGCAATGGCCGTGCGCGGCACTGCACAGCGCGCTGTACTTGCTGCACTCATTGGAGCGCGTCTAGTTAAACTTGCGTAAATGGGCGCTGCTCGCGCGCGGGCCGGGGGCGGCTGGGCTGGACCAGGCGGCAAGCAGCCGACCAGTCGCTCAACTTTACGAGGCTTCTAGCCGCCGCTCGGACCAATATAGACGGATTAGATAGCTTGACCTGGTCAGCAGAGAAAAAGGGTGTCGACTGGTTTGCCCCAGATCGGCGGTTTTTGGCACGCTTGCTTCTCGCTGTCTCCGCTCCCGCT